AATTTGATATATCGGAGTGGCTTTGACCCCTCCACCGGATTTGATATGGGGGTTGGTGGCAGCAGCAGCAGCAGCAGCAGCAGCAGCAGCAATGACAAGAAATTAACTCAAAAATTTGCCATTCCTGGAGCCAGAGACTGTGGGGACTGTGGGGACTGGGAAGCGGGGACAATTCTTGAGAATGTCAGTGCCATTCACGTATGTAGGTACTAGCTCCTCCTGGAGGCAAAATGGCGTTTATGTGTTTGCGTGTCAGCTATCGTGTCCCTGTCTCCCGGTGGCTGTCGACTGGGAGCAGTGGTGGCCATGTTGCATGTCCACCTGACATGGGGCAGACATTAGCAACAATGTCCCCCGTACACGTATCCCCAGCTAAATGTGTGTCGAATTTGCTTTGCAACAAAGTATTAGGCAAACAAGTGCAACTGCAACTGCCACTCCCACTCCCACTCCCACTCCGACTGCAGGGCGGCTTACACGGCTCCCTGTGTACACTGTACAGTGTCCCAGTAATCAATTCTGCTCAGGGCTGTCCCCATTTCTCGGGGATCTTGTGTAAATATGTCGAATATTTCAAGGATCGACTAAGAGCACATCCAATGACAGCCGAATCCCAGTCACAAACTGTTTTGGGGGATCCTCCAAGGGCTCTTAACATACAGTTTCCCATAAGCCAGGTGCTCAAACACCGATTACTGGGACACCGAGTTCGTGGAAAATTTTGTTGATACCAGAAATAATGCCACTCTCCAAAGGGGGAAATTAATGCCAAAAGATAGTTATCCTCGTGTGGGAACCACGCCATACGCGAGGGCTTGCGCCCTTTTCTGAAATGATTGCAACTTTTGCAACACACGCAGGGCAGGGCGGGGCGGGGCAGAGGGGTCAGTGTGTGGGGGACAGAGGCACAGGCACAAATTTGTCCGAGTGGTGCCTGCTGCCCCACAATAATCGACAACGTCGGCGGAGCGGAGTGGAGCGGAGCGGAGTGGAGCGGAGCGGAATGGTGAATGGAAAATGAAGAATGAAGTCAGACACCACTTGTGCCTTTGTGGCAGTTTCTGGACCTTCCGTTCGACCAGACCGGACCGGACCGGGCCGGCGCTCGCTCGTCCTTATGGCTTATCAAACGCCAATCAAAATGGCTCCTCTGGTATATAAAAAAGCAAAAAAAAAAAAAAAAAAGGGACGTAGGAGCCAGAGCCAGAGCGGGACGTGGCGTGGCGTTGCCCAGAGAGTGGCAGATGCCACGTGTCAGGCTATTTAGCATGGAAATTCGCTTTGTTACGACTACTATAACCAGGACACAATGCTGCATAGTGACCCGACCCGACCCGATCCGACCCCATTCACAGGTTACATAAAGACTTCAAGGTAACCCCAACAGCAGAGCAGCAGAGCAGCTGAACAGCAGAACAGCAGAACCATGGAACAGAACACGCAAACGAAGCATTTAAATCGATTTCACCCGCGAATAAGAGCGCGCGGGACTCGACGGCAGGCAGGCGTCCATCGAGGCAGCGCCCGCAGTGTCTTGCCCCACGAGCAAAACACTTGCCAAACGGGCGCATAGCCACTGCAAATTTATCTGACTCAGACTTAGACTCTGACTCTCACTCTGACTCTGACTCTGTTCTGCCCCCGTAATTTATAGAGCTTCGAGAGCTCCAAGTGGCCAGAGCTGGAGCACTCCTCCTTGCAAAGGTGCATGTGCTGGAAATGGGGTCTCGTCTTCAGCGTGCTTCATTTGCAAACACATTGCGGCCCAGTTTCGGCCGAATAACATCGATAAAACGAATAATGCGAATATGAACTAGGTTCTGCTCTGAAACTTTTCAAGCCACTTGGATGATGGCCAAGATATCTGCACTCCCAGAGAAATGCCTGATCCCAGCCCTCGAGGCTGGCAGGGATTTCTCTGATAAACTTTCGATTTGGCAATATTTTGTTAGGTTTTCGAAAAGTTGAAATTTATTTAAACAATATTTATCGATTCGGGACATACATCCATTTTCGTTGAGCCTCGACAGCAGCGCTAGGTCCCGAAACCTGCCTGAACCATGGAAAATATGAGTGTTTGCCGAAAAATTTCAACTCTCCTCCTAACCCATTGCCAGCCGACTTGCCCCACACCCCCGCACGGCCATCCATGGGGTTCATTCAATTGCCAAACGATTATCTCCGGCCTCATCAAACACATTGGCAGTGGCTGGGGCTGGGGCTGGGGCTGGGGCTGGGGCTGGGCCAGAGCATCCCTGACATCGGATCCGGGTTCGTTCCGTCTGACGTCGGGGATGCGGCCTGCCTGCAAATGAGCATCGCCGCCGCCTTGTTTGCGGTTCGCCCGTAGATCTACGGACTCTACGGGGGAATTTGTATGCCGGCGGGCGTACTCAATCTTTGCTCTTTTGTGGGTCTGTGCGGTGTGCAGGCGGTGTGTGCACTCGACTGGATATCGAATGGGGAGTGTGGAGTGGGGAGTGGCGAGGCGGGCTATCCGCATCCATTGGGGGGGCATGGCTAGCGATGCCACAAACTATTTCAGGTGCCTAATCGCATTCTGACAGTTCTGAAAACAGTTTTCACTCGATGGGGGCCAACTCCCGGGCCCAACGCATCCAAGGGATATCTGCACCACAGAGAAAGCCAAAGCCAAAGCCGAATTCGAAGCCGAAGCCGAAGCCAAGTGCCGAATCTGGCAAACAAACAGCCGCATTGTCATTGAAATGTTGGCAGGACTTTTTGTCTCTCTGTTCCTTTTGTAGGTTGGCTTTATCGTAGTTTTTCTGTTTTTTCTTTACTTTCGAGAATTCTATTTTCCTTTTTTTTTTTGTGAGGGGCGGGAAGGGGGGGGTGGGGCACTCCCCAGTGCCTTTGCTCCATCAGAATCTATGTAGCTGTCATCGGGAGCCACACACTGATCCAGGCGAGGCTTTCGTTCGAGTTGGGGAGGCAAGGCACATCGGGAACTATAAATCAACAAATTTGACAGCAAAATGTGCAAAGTGGTAAACAAAAACTGGCATCGGAAGCAGTTGCAGCCAAGGACAATGAAGGCAGAAGGACTGGAGCTGCTGCTGCTGCTGCTGCTGGCTGCCCAAACAGATTGCACAAGGGAATTATTCGACTATTCGGCTTTCCAGCTCTTTCTCTCTCCATCTCTCTGTGGGCCTGTGTCTGCGTCGGTGTCTGCCCGAAGGCCATTATTGGTGGTAATCAAGCGTGATTAATTGAATTGAAATTGAATTTTTGTTTTGTTTTGCATAACATGCTGCTCCTGGACGGCCAAATGCCCAAATGCTCCTCCCTCGGTGGGTGGGACACGTGCAATTTGGAATGTGGAATGTGGGTCAGGTGTCGGAAAAGAGGAAAACAGGAGAACAGGAGAACAGGAAAACATGAAAACAGCCAACGGGTCGAGTGTTTTTAAAGCACTCACATTTTCTATACACACTCTCGACTCGATATATGTATGTACCTTGGTTATTTTCGCCTGAAAGGGCGATGATTCTACAGGGAAATCTAATACTGATTGAATGTGCTCGTATTCCTAATTAACACATTCATTACCATGACTACTCCCCAGAGCAATAGAGACAGGCAGAGAGAGAGAGAGAGAGAGAGAGTTAGCAGAGTAATAAATCTCTAATTGAGCAATGCATTGCCTCCACTCCACTCGAATCAAAAGAGAGCAGAACCATTGTGGGGATTGGGCAGAACAAAGCTTCCACCTACAACATACACGAGGGTCGCTTCAACACATGGATCTACATGGGGAGTACCAACAGTCTACAGCACTGTGTAATTATACACGAGGGTCGCTCCAACACATGGATCTACATGGGGAGTACCAACAGTCTGCAGCACTGTGTAAATATACACGAGGGTCGGTTGGACATATCTACATCTGGAGTACCAACAGTCTGCAGCACTGTGTAAATATACATGTAGCACTGTGTCATTTTACATGCATTCCGTATGCAAATGTATGCATGCGTGTATGTGTGTATGTATGTATGTATTTATGCGTGTGCATTGCATTCTCTGTCACAATTAACGGCACCTTGCTCGTCTCATTTGTTGTGCCGTCACTTCACGAAAGCGTGTGGGCGCTCGCTCGCCGCACTGCCAGCTGATCGCGTCCACTGATAAGCAGATGAATTTCAGATTTTAAGGCCCGTATAAACGCGACAGCGACAGCACAGAGAACACGCCGCTCTGTTGGATTATCTTTATGAATGGAATGATTCAAGTTTATACCGACACGAAACCGTGTTTACATCACGATTACGATTACGACTCTTCTGGCATGGACCATTTATATTGAAGTTCAATTAAAAATTGAAATTAAATTGTTGGCTGTGGTGGCAGTTGGTCTCTGAATTAAAAAGCTGTACCTACATATCCTTTCCTCTTGCTGGGTCTGACGCAGCTCCGTCGCCAGCTGCTCTAAATGGGTTTTTCCACCTTGAATTCGCATTAAACACGAAGTGTTTTTCCTTAGAACAGGCCCAGGAGCAAATCTGGGAGCGGGTGGTGGCTCTCTCTCGCACTGATGGGTATAGAGGCGAGGTCTGACTTTTCATGGAAGGATGTACATACCTATAAGGAATGTCCTACTATGCATAAACTTGCTTTGTGTCTGTCTCTGTCAGAGGTTTAGATATATACGACTTTTTGGCAGATCTCAATAAATATGAATAAAATACGTAAAAATAACAACCTCGACTAACCCACCTTTCTGTTTTCTCTATCTCTCCCCCTCTCTCTCTCTCTCTCCCTCTTTCTCTTTCTCTGTCTCTCTTTGCAGGTAACTTTTCAAATCCAAATGAAATATTGCACCGAAGTCTCTCGTGAAGGGGCATTAAGGGGGTTTATTGCCAGCAATAAACTCATTTGCGTACCCCCCAAATCCAGGGGAGACTCTTGTCTCTACTGGCGGCCGGCCTCCTTCGTCGGATGCTCTGCTCTCTTGAGTACTTTTTTCGAATAAGGCCCTTCTCCGTATCCGTATCCGTAGCCGTAGCCGTAGCCGTGTCTCCCTCCGTGTCCGTTTGTATTTAAGTTTATGTGTGTACCCGTGTCATAGGCTGTGCCGTGAACCGGGAAAACCAGCTAACGTAAAACAAAAACCAAAATAAAAAAAAAAACCGAGAACCAACCAAATTGCAAAAAATAAATGTGCGGCGGGTGGCGGCTGGAGCAGGAGCAGACGCAGACGCAGCCGCACCAACAGTCCCGACCAGACAAAAGAAAGAGGACTCGGAAAAAGAAAAGAAAAGCCAGGAGGTCGAAACCGCAATCGCAATCGCATTCGGAATCGCAATCGCAATCGGAATCGGAATCGAAGAGGAGCTCCCATTAGGGAATCAACGCGAGGTAAGTACTGTACAGGTGGCAATCGATGCCACAGGGGAGAGGGTGTGGTGTGGTGTGGTGTGGAGTGGCGCCCCCCAAAAGACAATATTATGATGGATGTTCTCCCTATCGGTATTGTTTCACTTGCAGGCGGGCATGGCCGTGGCAGGCTCTGCTCTTCTCTTCTCTTCACTTCAGTTCTGTTTTTGTTTCGCCTTAGGGGGTTTTGCTGCAAAAGTTGACAGACCCCTTTGCATAAATCAGAGCCCGGGTCCCCAGATATCGAGTCCCCTCCCAATCCCACAGCCCCACAGCCCCCGGGCCCCCTTTCCGCTTTAAAAATCAATTCTGGCCCAATGTGTCGCCAGCCCAAAAGATTAAACTTCAGCTTTGACACGGGACACGGATGAGGCGACGGTTGACTTCTCTGGTGGTGCCCCAGCTGTCTGTCTGTCTGTCTGTCTGTCAGGGGGTTATACAGGGGGGGGGGAGGCAGGCTTATCGATCAAACTCCTGGTGCAAGTTGGCCCCGGATGCGGTTTGTCTCCTTCTTCGGCTCCTTCCACCGCACAAAGGAAAGTTGTGCTGCGCCTTTGATTGCTCAGCAAAATGTAACATTACCACATAAAAAGTGTGGCCCTGGCTTGTGGCCTGGGGGGCATTTGCGAAGTTCAGTCTTCGAAGTCTATATATAGACACTGCACCGCTGGTACTGGTGTGGGGCTGCTTGCTGGCTGGTCAACAGCTCGTATAAATCCTGCCACGCATTAATCGCCTCCCCTCCAAAAAGGTGTAGCATTCCCTCAGGGTCCTGGAGTACGCGTTGTGCTTAGACGAAGAAGCGGACGCCTCCACTGTATTGCGGGGCCAATTTGTATGGGTTTCACGTCTGGTTTCACGACTGCGTCAGCATGGACTCTGTGGCTCTGTCGCTGCAAATGGCACAGGCAGGGGCACAGGCTGTGGCACTGGTTTCGGTTTCGGTTCTGGTTCTGGTTCTGGCTCTCTGCCTCTTATGCTGATGACATCATAACCATAAAAATTAAATTTTTGCTGCTCTGACAGGCAGCGGAAATGACGGCGCTTCACTGTCCGTTGTTGTGGTGCTCGCTGTGGCGCTGTGGCGCTGTCGTTGTCGTTGTCGGACGGATTTGGCAGCTCCACTGAAATCGAAAAGCGCCTTGAACTCTCTCTCTCTCGCACGTCGCGACCCACATCCGGACGAGCAGGCGAGCGACGCGTCGCTTGGGCTTGGGTTGGGGTTGGGGTTGGGGTTGGGGTTTGGGGGTTTGGGTTGAATATAAAATTTAATCGCAAGACACACATTTAATTTAATTTAATGAAGGAGAACAACATGCTCGCTCGCTCGCTCGGTCGCTTATCTTGGGCTCTGCCGTGATTCGCTGCGAGAACCCACTCCTTGGGGACAGCACCTCCTCCACAGCATAGAATATTTAAATTGCTGGAAAATAGGTTACAATTATTCAACGTGAACGAGGAGGATGCTTGTTTCGGAGGAGGTGTCAGGTCTCCACCGAGAGAGCTACCCTTGGGTCGTGCGCTTATTTTTTAGGGTCCAGGGTCTTTGAATGCGATATTCCTCTCTAAATAGGGAATAGGTTCATGCTGAAATGGGACTCTTATGAAAACTGCCTTACTTCGCGCTGGATGTCTTCTTCTGAGCCACGAAACTGCACTCCAATTAAGGGAACGCCAGGAGGAGGCGGGGGCACACTCAATCGGGCAATATGCCGCCAGCCACACTTCTGCCACCACCACTGTGGCCACTGTGGGGCATGAAGGATGGTGGACTTTATTAAAGACCAGCCCCAAAACACCGTCTCCGTCTCCGTCTGCGTCTCCGTCTGTGTCCCTGCCTCGGGGCTTAATTATACATTATTTTGGTCTAGGCCCAAGCAGACGCACACATCCACGTCGGCGGGCCACGTCGCGTGCTCGAGAGGCGTCCAGGCGTGTGCAATGATTTATGTTATGTGCAGCAGCGGGGGGTGCAGGGAGGCCGGGGGCCCGGCACCCCACTCTTACGAGCATGTTTGCCTATTGGTATCGCTGTCCTTATCCGTATCCGAGCGTATTCGTATTTATGGCCAAATAATATTAATAACAATAAAGCTTTCCGAACCACTTTATGGCCAAGTTTTCGTTGGCTCGAAAAAAGATTCCCCAAAGGATTGCTGAAAGAGCCTCCATGAATCCTCGTCTTGGTAATCTTTTCGTGACCTTAACAATAACATATCTGATATCTACGGGCAATGAGAATGAGAATGAGAACGAGAGCGAGAGAGAGAGAGAGATACGATACTCGTAAACCGAAAGCAGATTAATGTGCTCCCGGGCTTATTCGATTCTTGTTTTCCATATTTTATGGCCATACAGCATTTGCAATTTGCTATTTGCATTTCCCGAGATAGAAGAGATTGGATCGGAGCCACGAGGACAGATGCACCTTTGAATACGATTACGAGATAAATGTGCACATCGATTTGTTTCGAAAATCGGGGATTCCTCAAAGGGCATTCGAGGCCAGAGGGACTAAGGGACTTAACGGATGTGTTCCAAGAGTCCATTCCATGGCGGTGGCTGCACTTATTAAATCCTCTCTTCGCTCTGTTGGAACACCAGATGGGTAGGGCTCCTCCCCTCCGTTTAGCCAAGGGGTTGGACATCCAAAATATATGCACATTCATTAAAGTTCTCTTATATTTCCATCGATTGGCATCCAGATTGGCAAAATTATGGTAAAATTCGTGTCTCGCCCTTCATTTGAAATGCTAACACGTTTCCCCCATGTGCCCCCATGTGCACCCCCATGTGCACCCCCCATGTTCACGTGAAACCCCAAAAGTTTTCATTTCCCATAGAAAAAAAAAACGAAATCGAAAAATATAGGAAAACTAATCCCAAAATAGGAAAAAGGAAAAAACTTTCATGAAAATTTCCGAGCGATGGTTGCGCCAATAAATTGATTTTTTAATTAAATTATGGAATTTACATTCATTTTGTTTGAAGAGTGCTTCACCCTGTAGTTACCCAAAGTGCTTTCTATGAGGGAATACTCGATGGACATTTGAGTGTAGAGGTATTTAGAGGTCTGCATTCGAGGCAACGATCCCCAAAGAGATCCCCAATAGAATACACTCACGTGAGACTCGTTTGCACAACATTTAAAGCACTTTTTCCTGAACTATGTACTACAGAAGGGCTACCATTTGGTAGGCTTAAGGATAATCGAATGGGTCGGGAAGTCAGGTCGAAGAAGGGGGGCCGCCGCCGCATCACATAGAACCTCTCGCCTTTAAAAGAAAACACACAAATTTTAAACATTTTCCTATTCTTTTCTCTCCCATTTTCAGCAAACCATCGAACAACCAAATAATAGAATAAGCAATAGCATCCTTCTACTTGTGAAGGACACACACAATACAATATATATTTAGGACGCTTTAAAGGATACCTAGAATAAGGTTTACGAAATACGAATACACGTAATGTGTGTTTCTTTGGGGAAAATCAACGCTTCATAAATTACGATTTACGATTTACGATTTACGATTTAGTGAATAGACAAATTTAAGAACCAACAACCATCGGGTGTTTTATATCCCGCCACACGCCACAGGGATACAGGGATACAGGGATACTGGGCTACTGGGATACAGGAATACAGGAATACAAGGGTAAACGGGGAAGGAGACGACTGCAGAAGGAGGCTCGAGACCCTCCCAACATCACGGCAAAGTGCGGCCGTAATGGGTGGTGGCTTTGCGGGGCCACCAATTACATTAGCAACCAGCAACCAGAGCCCGGCCTTAGCCAGAGCCAGAGCCAGAAACACCAAGGCCTCACAGCCTCAACCACACCCCAGCCCCAACCCATATCCGCGGACAAAAACAGAGACGCAAACAGAGACGCAAACGGAGACGGAGACGGCGACGGAGACCAGGTCCTCAACCATCGCTCCAATGCACGAGAAACTCCTGGAGAAGGAGGAGACGCGCAAAGAAAAGACTGAACGGGCAACAAGTCTGCTTGGCGGCAAGGTCAAGGAGAAGCCGCCCAAGGACAAGCCACCCAAGCAATCGAAATTCGCCGAGCGGCTGCGACGCTCCTTCCGCCGCGGCGACCATCGGTCGCTGGAGATCAAGCGTCAGGAGCCCACGCCGGAAGAGCTACAGGCCAAGAGCCGTGCCACTCCACCGCTGCCGCTGCCACTGCCGCTGTCGTCGGAGAACAACAACCTGGTCGGTGGCAGGCCCCCCTCGGCCTTCGCCCTCAGCCAGCTCCATCTGCCCGGTGTGGGCCTCGGCGGACACATCAATCCCGCTTTGCTGCTGGACAGCCCCGACGAGTGCACGCCCCCGGAGTACGCCTACCGGCACCTGAGCAGCGTCGCCACCACCAACTCGAGCACCTCCCTGGAGAGCAACTGCGAGCTGGGAGATCTGAGCGGCTCCCAGACGAGCGTCTTCTACTGGGCCTGTGGCCAACAGACGACCACCGCATCCATGGGCGGAGAGGTGAGCACGGCCAACGGTGCGGGTGCGAGTGCGAGTGCGGGTGCGGGTGCGGGAGCAGCAACAGGAACAGGATTGGATGCACAAGAGCGTAGCAAGCGACGCCTGGAGACACAGAGCAGCAATCGGAGCGACCAGCAGCCGATATCCATTACAACGACCACATCCTCGGCACCGGCCAGCGGCAGCCGGAGCTGCAGCCTCACCAGCGAGAGCAGCTCCGTGCGGCTCACACGACTCCAGAACTTCCTGTTCAAGAGCAGCAACGAGAGCTCGAGGAGCTGCCAGGGGCATTCGAACGAGGGCTTTACCGCCTCCTCGCACAACTCCTCCTCGGGGGAGTGGGAGCAGATGGGCGCCCACGGGCCGCTGTCCAGCAGCAGCGGTGTGGGCTTCCACGGTGGCTCCTTCCCAGAGGAGAGCACACCCGATGAGACCGATGCCACGGACGCGGGCAGCACGCTGCCCGTGGAGAGCGGCGAGGCCGGAGGCGGCTACTACCAGTACACGCTGACCTCCCCGAACAACCCCTTCCTGCCGGAGATCACAGCCCGCACCTACCACAGCACCTACGAGGAAGATGGCCTGGAGCCGATGGAGGAGCTGCAGCTGGACGGGAACGTGACGTCCGTGAAGTACAATGCCAGTGCCGCTGGCACGCGGTCCGCCCAGCTGCCGACCCCCGCCTACAGTCGCGCCGGGTCCCAGGAGTCGACGCACAGCGAGAGCGGCGTCAGCTGTCCCCCTGGGCCGAGTCCCAGTCCAGCCTCCAGCTCCTCCTCGACGCCCGGACGGCACAGGCGCAAGCTTTTCAGCCTGAATTCGCCCACTCGTCTGCTGCACCATGCGCCCGTCGCCCAGTCCCAGCCCCAGGCCCAGCCCCCGCCGTCGGCCTCGCCACCCGCCGGCACCCAGCAGGAGAGCGGCGGCCGGTTCCATTCTGGCAGTCTGGTGCGGAGTCTCAATCCCTTCCTGCCCACCGCCTCCTCGCCCAAGCGGGGCTCGCCCCTGAAGCAGTCGGCCGTCACCTCGCCGGGCGCCGTGACCCCGGACCTGGGCACGAAGCGGGAGGAGTTCCTGCGGGCCACCATGAAGATTTGCCTGGTCGTCTCGCCGCCCAGCAGCAAGCTGCAGGTGAGTGGAGGAGCAGGTCCTGCTCCATGGGCCATGGAGCATGTCCATGAAGGAGCCAAAGCAAATGTTTGCTTTAAGAAATGAGAATAAACAGATTTTATACCACCCCACCATTCGGGTATTTCTATTTTATTTCCACTTTTCCTTTGGTTTCTCCTCCTTGCTTGCTTTCCTGAGTTTTGCCGAGTTTTCCTTCGTTTGCCTTTTCGTTTCTTGGTTTCTGCTTTATTGAATTATATAATTTTCAAATAACAGAAAACCTTTATCGTATAAACTCTGGCTCTGGGAGCAACAACAATTTAGGGCAATGTGCAAGATTAATTTTCTTCGTCACGCACACGCACACGACATGTATTTGGTTTTTGCCCTCTCGCTCCCAGCCTCGATAGCACACACGCCCGTACATATTTTGTTTTTGCACTCTCGGACGTTTTCATTGGTTGTCCTAGAATAAACTCTCCATTTGGAGAAAGGAATCGCCTTGCTCATTCCATCATCCGCATAGAGCGAAAGAATGGCGATCCTAAAATGTGAAATACATTGTAGAAGCCATCAGATTATAATCGTCAATTAATATACGTACATATGCATTTACGAGTATAGGTGAATCCATTATTCATTGCAAATGATATTGAATTGAATCATTTATTGAATTTGGTTCGTTTTGTCAACGGCTTTAATGCTTGAATGCCTGAATGGAATTGCAATAAGCGCCTCTAACGACCACGCATAACATAAATATTATATTAAATATTATAATAAATGCGAATTGCGAGATGTGGACTACACACGAGTGTATTACGCATACGTAGCATGAACAAGAACGTGAATGCATGGTAGACCCGCATGAATATGTGTGTCTGTGAGGATTCAATTGTCCTCCGGAGGACATTTAGGGGCATTAGCGCAAATGCAGTCAAGCAGTAAATTGCATCAACGATTTGTCCGCTTAGTCTCCGTCGCTGCGGCAGCATCCATTCCCCCAAGGACGTGCCCGCCACACACACACACACACACACAAAGCTGTGAGTGGAGTGGGGACACAGCCACAGCCACAGACACAGGCACAGACTCAGTCTTAGGCTCAGATTCAGGCTCGGTTATTCATTCAGAGATTCAATGGACGTGTCATCGTTCCATCACTGAATCTTGCAGCAGCAGCAGCATCGTAGAGCTTCATGCTCGTAGGTTTGTGCTGTGTGTATCAAATCCTCGGCTTTTCCTTTATATTTAACGTTTTTCCCGTACTGAATGCACGTTCATAGAATGTATTTATCATTTAATCCCATTTGTATTTGTTTAAGTGAATAGAGAGCCCCTCCCAGGTATCGTAAGCCGAATTCTTACTGCAATTTATACCATATTTAATTTATCAATTTATCATTTGAAGGTGCCTTGATTTGAGAGTGCCTACATACATATAAGTGTAAGATCAATCGTTTTAGTTGAATGATTCCAAGGACCATCTCATACTCACATATACTCTCATTAAAACCCTACCAAATAATACTAAAATCGCTTTTTATGCACTGTAAAGCACCTCATCGTCGACGAGTACCCTTGCGGTAGGCAAATCTTGAAATTCGACACCCACTTGTGTGTCCTGGCGACCAGAGGTCCTTGTGGACCCATGTCTTGGCGTGTTTGCTCTGGCAGCGCGTCGTGTTTGGGTGCAGGGACCAAAGTGATTTTCGCTGTTGTGCGTGTCGTGGGAACGATCCCTGACCCCGGCCCCGGCCCCGGCCCCGGCCCGGCTCAGAAAGGGAGGGGGATTGTACATGAAAATGCCGTGGTCAAGATGCTGCTGAAAGGGCGCCTAAAGGGAAATCGTTAGCGGCTTTAAAGGTGCGAAATATTACGAGTGCAAGTCCTAATTTAGAATGAATACTTTGTTAACCCATTAAGTGTCCTTCTTCCGGGCAGAAATTATGAAATTATGATTTCCCCAAACAATACCAAAATGTTTTGTTTTGTTATGAGAACAAAAGAGAGCGTCAGAAGCACAGGGCCAAAATGCTTGCTAGACAAGGCCATAAGCAGGGAACGAGAGAGAGAGAGAGAGAGAGAGTCCCGACTGGGGCGATACCTCCTCCGAGAACAGAGGCAACACCCTCTCTCTGCCTGCACGGCTCCAAGAGACCCCTCTGATACCGGGTACCCAGTGGGAGAACAACAATTCACGATAAAACAGGAAACAAAAACCATAAACCAGAGTAAAGGGCAAGGGACGACGCTGGAAATGGCCAAAAGCAGAAAGTAGAAAGTAGAAAGTGGAAAGCAGAAAGCAGGGCATTGTGAATTATTGTCGTCAGCAGGAATAGGACTACAGACGAGACTGTATCAGAACGGCACGCGCATCCTTGAACAGACTCCGCTCCGCTCACCCTACGAGGGGGAGTCCTGTGCGGGGGAGTGTCCCTCGGCAGGGGCTTAAATCTCTGCAGCCAGAAATTGGGCGGTAAGCTTCCCTCCATTCCAAGTGGAAATATAGAATACAGCCAGACATTTGAATACTACTGCCTCTCCAGGAGTGCTCTCTATTTCCCTTCGGATCAAAGGAACACTACATTTTTGGATGTTGCATAGCCGGTAATGATTTTATTTAGTCCCTGTCAGTGGCTGTGGCCGATGCCATTTCAGATACAAGGATTTTCCTCGAGAGTGCCACTGAAATGTGTAAATCACTGCCGAGTCCTTGACTACGGAACCCAGAGGGGGCCAAGAGCGGCGGCGGCGGCATTGACTTTGCCACTGACACTGGGGCGGTGGGAGGGCAGTCGGTGGCTCTTGACTGATGTAATCTCAGTGCATTAGGCGAGGACAGGACACAGGACAGGAAGTCTTCTAGGACACGTCTAGGGCCCTTGGCCCTGCTGGCGCAATCTTTTTGTTCTCGATGCATCTCTCGTGCCCTTTTGGCTACTGCCGCCGACTGCTGGCAGCAATTTATTTTTCCGGCAAGAGCACCCCAGGGGCATTAGGAATAACATTGTACGCTTAAAGCGCGAAATACTCTGGTAATCCCATAAGGATTCGTCGCCCTTTGAATGCACTTCCCGCGAGATTGCATTCTATATTGAATATTACTTCATTTAATCCGTTTTTGTTTTGAAGAAATACCAACATTTGTTGCAGGAAAACTGCTCAAATCATGAGTCCCATAAAAACATTCACAGGAATTTATTTTAAAGCACCGGCATGCCGATGGCATTTTATTTGAATTTTTTGATGTGCAAAATCATACAACGCCTCATGCGCAACCATTGAAATATGTATAATAAAAAGCTCTCGACAATCCAATGCCAATGCCAACAATATTCCCCATATTCAATTATCAATATCCGAGTGAGAGAGAGAGAGAGAGAGGAACGCCTGATTGATTTCAGACCGCTTTTAATTTCCATTTGCAGCTGAAATCGAAAAGCCTCACGCACTTGGATGGCCTCGACACGGTGGTGGCCTGCCAGCACGGGCCCGGGGGGACTGCAGCAACAACATCGGTGGTCCAGGCACCTGGGGCATCTGGGGCACCTGGGGTGTCCTCCGGGCATCAGCATCAGCATCATCATCAGGCGGCAGCAACGACACCGACGGCGCTTGGCCGGCAGCCCCATGCGGTAAGTGACGATGTCATGGATGACCACAGGTCCTGCCACCCTCCATCCTTTGTAGTCTGTTAAATGTAGTGTACGTAGGCGCCTAGTCCTGTAGATGCCGACGGGTTGCCGCTCGAGGATTATCCGTAGTGTCTCCTTAATGCGTTTCTCATTTCTCATTTGTTAATGTGTTTTCACTTTGGTTTCACTTTGATTTTGACTGCCTTTGCTTCCTTTGCTTCCACTGCTATTGTTGCCGTTACTGTTAATATTCGTTTTAAGTTTTGCACTTCACCTGAGATGCCCTTTGCTTTTTGTACTCTATAAAACATATACACACTATATTCTGGATCATCCGTCTGTCTGTCTGTCTGTGCCTTTGATCTACCACAACTATGGCTCTGCAAGGGTATCCAATGCCTCGCTCGTCCTTCCCTCTTCTGTGCTGGCTGTTATTCATTGGGAAAAATCCTTGTTCCTTTAGCTGTCACTTTTCAACAGTAGAAGTACGTGACTTTTCTATGATTTAGAGAGGGACTTCTTCCACTTTTCTCTCCTTCTCTGCCCGGTCTCTGTTATCATTTACAACTTTTTAGCACGGATAGCAGTTTAGTTCCCACTGACAGCAGCACCCGCAGAGAACCCCTTACGCTCTCTCGTTGAATCGATGCAATTTTCTCTTGCCAAAGTTAAGCCAATAAACTTGTCGTGGATTAAGGAAGCCATTCAATTGGTAGTAGAAACTGTTTGGGACACCACGCACTGGCTATAGATAAGGGTACTATATCCGTCGTGTCTTTGGGAGCTTGTAGATTGTAATATCCAAGTCGAGGACTAGTTATTGGAAAATAGTGATGAAATATGTAGATGCTGCATGCAATAAGTATTTTATTCCGAATAAATATTGTTATCGATAGTCAGACTAGTCATTTATCGGAATAATTATTGAAGTAGCTTCATTAATAGTGGGAGTAGCGATTAATCGGAATAATAGTCGGAGTAGCGTTTCATCAGAATAATCGACTATTAATATTCGTATTCTCATATTTTTTTTTACTATTTCCTTCACTTTGATAATCTCTAATTTCCACTGTAGAATCGATTGAAATCGTTTTGAAACGCCTAACGACTATTCTGTATTCTCTTCCTTTCTCTCTCTCTCTCTCTCTCCCCCTCTATGTCTGTGCCTCTCTACCACTCTCTCTTCCTACTCTATCTTTTACTTCACGTTTTGTTTATTTGCCAACCGCTTGAACCCCTCACCCTCCACCCGCTGCCCCTACTCCCATCCGAAAACAGACGGAAAAGAACGATCCGGCGAGAGTTTGTCCGCTTTCAGTACTGGCGCCCCAGTCCGTGCCTCACCCACCCACAATTTACACCCAAGCACCGCAGATCGTGCGTCGGGCACCGTCGCTGATGCTCTCACTCTCGCCCACGCTCGACATAACGACAACGGCCGCGTCCGCCTGCTTTGCCGGCACCGGTCGTCCCACTGTGCACTCGAGTGCCAGCTCCTTGCACCATCATCAGCAGCAGCAGCACCAGCATCAGCAGAACCAAAAGCACCCACAGCAGCCTGCCATGGCTGCCATGGCTGCCACGGCGGCCACGAGTAGTTGCACCAGTGCCACCAGTGGCACAGCGACAACTCATTCGATACCCTCCTCCTCCTCCTTCAAACACTTTCAGTATCCTGGCGGCGAGGCGCAGGCTGCGGCGACCTCGTTGAGCCCCTACAGCAGCACGCCTACTTCGGGCCCACCGCTGACTTCTCCGTCAGGCCTGTCGGCGACGACGTCGGCGACTGTCAAAAAGAAATCCTCATTTCTGCAGCGCAAGAAACCGCTATTGACACGCAGCGAGGTGAGTCCTGAACACCGGCACTCGAGAGCGGGCCAAAATAAGGGAACGGAGCACTATATAATCCATCCAGGAGAATCGCACTTGAGTTGTGGCATCCGCGATACAGGAAGAGGAACAGGCAGAGGCACCCCGGTGACCGGAGGTCGAGAGTGCTTCAATATGGATTCATAATCAGGCCTTGAGAGCCTTGAGAGCTCGGAGAACCCTCCACCCCTCCACCCCACTCCCCACTCTTGTGGGGAAACTCAAACAGAACTCAAACCTCCCCCCCTCCCCCATTCCTCTGTGGAGGGGTTCTACCTCGTAGATTTTTAATTTCTCTCCTGTATTTGTTTTGTCGCCTTAATCAGCAAAGTTGTTGTACAACTCTCTCATCCTCCTGCCGCTTGGCGCCTTCCTTTCTTTGGTTTCCCGAGAATTCCGCTCCGCCGCCCGCCCCACAAGCACGGGGGCAATATTCCGTAATGTTTGCTCATTCAGTAGTTTCTGTGGCACCCCTTTGGCGGCGGCAACCACTTGAAGCTCGACGTATCCGCGCTCCGTTCCGCTTCGCATTCGAGAAAGTACATACATATAGCTTATGGATTCTGCTTACGATGGATACCTTTCAAATTTAATCCAGGAACTTCCAAGACCTTTACTTGTCACTAAAACGTCTCCCATCCTTCGCCTAGGTATCCAGTTCCGAGTTCTTTTCCGTGTCGTTTTGCATGGACTCGTCCCAGCATCCGGACGAGGAATTCATACCGGCCACAAAAGGTGTAACCCTACTGTAAGTTCCCTCAAATACCCTTAAGATCTGGGGCTCCAATTTTCGTCCATTTTCAGTAATGCCCTCAGCCATGCCCTGCGGCGGAGAAACCTCACCTTTTCGCAGATCACGATAACGGACAATAATCCCACGCCCAGTTTTTTAGATGCAGGTCCCTCGCCCGCAACGAGCTCCGTGGATGAGCAAACCGACGTGGAGAACCTGGCTGGCCACCATTTGTGCATCACGGAACGGGGCTCCAATCGCAAGCCACTGCAGAAGGCGGCCTCCTTTGTAAGTGAATCGCATCGATCAAGGATCGACTATGTAAATCTATTCCGTTCCGTTCCACCCAAAAGGGATCCCGACAACCGCCGCCCCGCCTGCTGCCCTCCGCCTCGACGGAAGAGACCAGCGACGCAGCTGTGGCGGCAGGCAAGCAGATCAAACAGCGATGGTCCTCCCTGTTCGGCATCAAGAACCCCCAGCAGAGCCAGCTGTGTGAGCTCCTCAACAGCTACTCGCGGAGTGGAGTGCCGCAGCGGGCGGAGGGTCTCAGCTTCGAGCATCCGGACCTCGACAACTCGCTGGCATACCTGCAGAACATGCACAAGTCCTGGCGGGACTTCGTCGAGAGCGAGGCCATGCCCGAGAGCGAGGTCAAGATCCAGACGGCCATATGGGAGCTGGTCACCACCGAAGTGTACTACATACACGCCCTGCAAACGGTGACGGATGTAAGGGTCGTCTGCTCCCCAAAGAGGGAATCCCCAGGTATCTGACTTTGCTATTTCGTTGCAGCTTTTCCTAGCTTGTCTGGAGGCCGTGCAGACGGAACGCCTGCTGATTGATGTGGACCAGGCGCGTCTGTTCTCCAATGTGCGGGCCGTCTGCGAGGCGAACATAAAGTTCTGGACCATGTGGCTCTATCCGATGGTGGCACACAGTGTGATGACCCACGAGCCCCTGCGATGCGCCTTCTTCCAGGAGGGATTCATTGCATTCGCCTCAATCTTTGCGCCATACAAAGTGAGTCTCTCTCTCGCTCTCCCTCAGGCCACAATCTCCCTTTATGCAGACGTTTGTCGTCCATTGTCGTAGATCTACTGTGCCGAGCAGAGCACTTGCCAGTTCTACTGTAAGGAGCTCAACCAGAACAATCCCCTGTTCACCTCGTATCTGGCGTGGTGCGAGTCTCAGAAGATGTGCAACCGCCTGCGGCTGGCCGACATTGTGGTGCGGCCAATGCAGCGCTTGACAAAGTACAGCCTCCTGCTTGCCGCCATCAAGAAGCACATGGGGGACGTGGAGGAGATCGAAGCCATTGACGTGATGATGCACAGCGTCGAGAACTTTGTGGGCAGCGTCAACAATCACCTAACGATGCGGCAGGAGAACGAGCGGCTCAAGGGCGTGATGGTGCGGATCGAATCGTACGACGTTGTGGTGAGTAGGGGCTGATCCCTGGTTGATGCATGCCACATGATGCCACATGTTTAACAGGACACCAACAACGAGGGTCTGGACAAGCTCATCAAGCAGCACAGCCAGATGTTCGATCTGTGCGCCCCCATGCGGGGCTGCCCGGCATATCATGTGCGGCACCTGTTCATGGAGGGCGACCACAAGTTCAAGGACAACCTGGGCAAGTCCGATGTGCACTGCTTCCTCCTGACGGACCTGCTGCTCGTCTGCAAGACAATGGCCAAGCGGGGCTTGGGCGCCCTGAAGGTCATCCGACAGCCGTACCTAACCGACCAGCTAATCGTCAACATGGCTCCCAATAACACCATCAACTGTGTCTACCTTAACGAGTTCCAAGTGGCCACCACAGCGTTCACGCTGCAGTGCACCGAGGCCAAAAACTGGTACGACGCGATGTGGCGGGCCAAGACCATCTACCAAAGACTGAAGCGCGGCGCCGGCGGCGGCGGCGGCGGTGGCACAGTGGGTGACAGCTTCCGCTTTGGAGGCAGCGGCACAAGCGGCGGCACTGCCGACTCCCTGGGGGTGCGCAAGTCGCCCATGAACTCCTCCATCTGCAGCCATGTATCCAGTGCGAACAACAGCCACAGCGGCAGCGTCGAGTGGAACGATTCGCGCAACATATCCGTAGACTTTGAGAAGACAAACTCCGTGTCGAGCGACGAGGGCTCCGGCATGATGACGGGTAAGTCACTCTCAGCCACACTCTTCCTATAGTTCCGAATCTCAGTTCAATGGACGATCTGTCGTTGACAGGCAACCATGGAATGGCCGGGAAGGGAAAGCAGCAACTGATTAGCGGTCTGCACAAGGCAAAGATAGGGATGATTGGGGCCATTGGCTCCAAGTCGGCGAATACCCTGACTGTGCAGCCATTGAACCACCTGGGGCAGAGTCTGCCCAACCTGAACATGCACCACAGTCACACGTAAGTTGCCCCGTAGAGAGTGCACCACGCACCACCATGACCATGACCATGACCATCATGACTAGCTTCTTACTAAAACAAAAGCAAGCACATCCACCAACACCACTCTCACCACTGTCATCAGATTAGCATTCGTCCAGTCATGTGTCCGAGGGTTCCATTCCTCCCAGGAACTATCGAGCACACACCGTTTATCGTTTATGTTGTATCATATTGTATCATTAAGCCATCATATATATTTATACACAACAATGTAGGTAGTATGTATTGTAATTTAGTCATCTTTTATACAAAAGAAAAAATACCTATCAAATAAACCGTTTTTATTGTGTACGATAACCCCGATTACTCGATTACTCGATTACTCCACAAGACAAGCAACCCTGCCTCCTCCATATTCCACATTCATTCCACCTTGCATCAGTGTTCATTCGTGTTCATTTGTCATTTTCTTTTGTGTTCAATCGATCTTCCATCGCTGAATCGATTGTTAGAGATCGATTATTTTCCTTTCCCGCCTATCGCTTGCTCTCTTGCGCCTCCGCTGCCACCTCCACCACCACCTGCTGCTCTTTACAGTAACCTTTACCATACTTTTGTAGTAACAATACCCTGCTCGTGCCGGGCACGACCACTAGCCACTCGGGCAACATGTTGTTGTCGCCCAGCCATCGTGGCATTTCCTATCCGCCGCCGAGCCCAACGAGGTGAGTTAGAAGGGCAGGGAACCACCGCCTGGTTATGGTCTCACCTGCTCATACAATCCCCATACAATCTGTCGTCTTTCCACATGTGTATCGTTGATCGAACCGCCACCGTCTCACGACCCAACATTTGCCATCATCGATCGCCCTGTGACTACCAAAATCCCGAAATGAAAATGAAACTGAAACTGAAAATGAAAATAACCCCACCGTCCCCAATGCCTAATGCCTGTACTGTGTCCGGTCCCCAGAGTGCCGCTGCGCCGTGGCATGGCCTTCTCGACCTCCACCAAGAATCCGCCACTGCGGAAGACGCGCAACGTCACCTCCCAGAACAGTATTAACTGGCACCAGATACCGGCCACACCGACGCCCACGCCGCCCAGTCCCCGGTCGCAGCACACCACCACCCCGGCCAGCATTGCCCTGCAGAAGTCGCTGCCTGTGCTGGACCCATCGTTGCCACCGTTGCTCCACAAGCAGCTCTCCCACCAGGCACCCCTGACGACGTCCAGCACCGAGACGGACGTATGATGTGGAGCCAATGCCCACCTCCGGCGACCGGCGACCGGCAAGCTGTAATCTTAAGATAGATTGCATCTTACTTGGAGCTGATCTGACCTAGATGCATGCAACGATAGAAACTATATAGAGCGTGTACTTACCTTACCTTACGATTAACCTGTCACAAATTAGCAATAGCACACAGAGAGCACTTTTCTATTAGGAACTTGTATTGTGAGAAACGGCACTTTTGGGTCCAAAGCTGATATTTAAATAATGTACATTCCAAAACTACTACTACTACTACTACCACCACTACTGCTCCCCGCGCCAGACCACCTAGCCTTTCAAGCTTCGACATTCAAAACACTGAACACTGAAACACTCAGCCATATTACGAGTATTCTTCCCATAACGATATAAAGACAAATAAAGTTTAATCAACGGATTTTTTTTTTTTTTTTTAAGTCATTTAGTTGGTTACAACTAAGGCTGTTACAACCAACGGAAGAAGTTATTTCTAGTACTAAACAATATTACAATACGAGTATGCATAGTGCAATGCCATATATACAAAACTATTTAGATCGAGATCCCAAGCTTTATAAAAGTGTCTCCATGTAAGTCGATTGATGTAAGTCGTTACGTCTCCATAAGTAAAAAAGATTACTATGTTATGGTTAAAAAATATCAATAAACACTCATGATTATCGTACTTACTGCATGTATAAAACATGCGATATACATATATCCACGATATAATATATAGGTACAAACATACATATATACACAGTCTATAACCTATGCGTGGATACTGCGTTGGCAATAGTGGGAAACTTTAAGATATGATATGCTTGTCCCCCCAAAGTACTGTACGTTCCCACTTCATAGACTTATATGCTCTATCTTTCCGAAATAATTCAGTTGAATGTTGTTTTCCATACCCATGTAGAAAATACAATATGTTAAGCATTCCCAATAGATTAGGAAAATATAAAAGTAGCTTAACGTTATATCGACGTATGTATACCAAACTAGAGTATTAGCCGATCATCGGCCACCGTGCATGACATAATGTTACTTGGGACTTTTAAAGGATCTAAATTCTTCTCCCTTCACAAAGCTGTACTGAATTGGAGTTTGATATGGGTGATACGATTTGTGATGTGATGGCCTTCTGTCTGTGCTGAAAGAGTCCACTATAAGTAGCAGGTACATGGCTTTGCAATCTTCTGGTAACATTCCATAATATCCATCCTTGAAGCATTAGAAAACATATGTATACTATCTTTTCTGCTATAAGATTCTAAGTGGGAACAGGAGTGCTTAGAAGTAACAATAAAGTTTTGGTTGGGTTGCAAAATCCGTAGAAAATCAAAAAGTTGATAGCTTATATCTTTATACTGATGTATATCGGAGTGGCGGCACATATTTCCAAGTCCCATAGGTATTGGCTAATAACGTACATAAGTAACTAAGTGTAGACTAGTACTGTTCTTCCTACATAAATTATATTAGGTGGATATTCTGGAACAGCAATCGCAGGTGTTTGCTCCAGGATTTTGTATATATTACCTTCGGGAAAGCGTGACACAAGTTCTAAATTAAATATAGAGAAACAAACGAAGACATATGTATGTATACACACACAACCACACCCACATACACACAAGTGGTATATATGTATACAGAAATTATTCATATATTTATATTTGTAAACGTGTACAAAAGAGATGAATACATCACGGTATTCGGGGAACATATAAAATATATTATAATATACATATGTATGAATATGCATATATGAAACCGCAATAAACAATGTTAACTGTATTTGTATGTATTTATTGATATATGTATGTATGTTTTATGTATAGGGCTGCTTAGAGCTGAGATCGTATTTTAGAGTTTAGTTGTAGCCCCTTCCCCCCCTACATTGGCGTACAAATATCTAATCTCTAGTTTAGAGTAAAAGAGTACCTAAATGGACACTTGGATGATAGATACCCTATATAACACACCTACCCGCAAATGGTAATTAGAAGTTGAACTTAAAATGTTATTGAAAACTATATCAAAAACGCAATTTATTTACAATGGAATACAAATAACAGACATATAATGCGTAAAGTGCAACAAAGCTTTATTTACACGCTTGAACAATAAACATTAAACGTATTTGTAAAGTAAACTCGCAATTTAATCGTAGTTTGATTTCACATACATACAAAGGTAAGTAGGCTTGAAATCCCTACAATCTATCCCAAGCATTCGGATGAGTCTCGAGATGGCAGGAACTGTAGGAACTGTTAGGAACGTTGATGAACTGTAGCATCCAAATAAAGTGCAAAAAGTTTCAACTTCTTTCTGGCTTTCTTTAAGTATGTTTTCCTTGAATTTGGGGTGCAACAATATCGCAACAATCGAATATCTTACAAATTATTGAAAATTCCCTGCCGACATCAATGCACATTGTAAAGATGACTGCTTGCAATTTAAAGGCAATTACTATGAAAAAGTTGCCACGTACGTACAAAATCTGAGCTGGAATACATGCTAGAGCCAACTGGATTGGACAACAGTGCTTATTTTTCCATTAAAAAGTTTGTCCACAGCTGCAAGCAGCCAGACGGTGGGGCAGGGCAGGGCAGGACAGGACAGGGCAGGGCATGGATGCAGTTTGATAAATGAAGGGTCCTCATCCGGGACCGTCGTTGTCATTCAATGAGCGATTACTAATTGGCATCGCAGTTAGCCAACAGATTCGGAGAGTTTAATATTGTTTAAGTTGAAACTAAACGAGCAGCGCACTCTGGTCAGGCATACTCTTGGGGGAGGAGAACCTAATGCCCTCCGTTGTGCAAGCTGTGGATGCAAATTAAGTTTCTTATACTCTTATATTCCTTAGCTGGCAACGGAGGAGCGGGCAACGGCAAACCGGAACGAGTACACTCAGAAGCAGACGATGCTTGCAACATCCGAGAGGATTATTTGTACGCCCCGGTCCCACCCGACCCGACACCGACCCGACCCGACCCGCTGTGCTCGGGAAACATTATGATAAATGTCTTGATTCCGCCATAGAATTGTTATGGCTGGCTGTTAGTCAGGCTGCTTGCCTCGGATGCCCGGATACGCGGATACGCGGCTGCGTCTGTTACTCGTATATTTAGACATCATAATGGCGTCATAAAAATACGCACTTAACGAGCTCGCTCTCGAATTTCAAATAGCACCGGGCCATGGAGAATTCAATGGCCGCCCAGGCATCCACATCCGCCCGCCGAGTGCATCCATTTGCAGGACCAAGTGTAATCGTGTAAGCTAGATATTGCCATTGCCGTTTGAATGCAGTGCTTGGGAGCACAGTGACGCGTGAAAGTTGGCCTTGGGTTACAGGTAAAATAATTACAAAAATACGAATGAAAGGACATCCTATAAGCCGACACCATAATGTTTGAATGGTGTGTGTGTTTGAGCGTATTAACACCAACTGGTTCTTGAAATCAATTTTAAACTACTCGTCTGCTCTGGGGTTCTTTTCAACATCAGATTGGGCAAGTTGCAATGTGTCTTGATGAATGATTTTTAAAAGGTCACTAAAGCGAAAATGTACGTGTTTATGAACCCGAACAGGAACCGACACAGGCCACCCCACAAACAGTACAGTAAACTAAAAGGAGGCCACTTGAGAAAAAGGACACCTGGATTTACGAGCGGTTCGACCATAAAACCATATAGCACATGTGGTATGCACGCATTAGGTGCAAGTGCCGCACATCAGTACTTTTCTTGGGGTTGGTCTTACGTTTTAAGTACGTTATAGTTTCCTATGCATAGTGCATACGTTTCGAAAATAAAAAACAGTTCGAATTTACAACTTAACTTATCAACCTCTACAGTACGAGTAGATTTTGGTTCAACAAAGCGGCATTGAAATTGATGGAAAATAAATGGAAATTAGCCATATGCCAGGTGGAGCTTTAAGAGCCCGTTGCCGCCGCTTGCAGCAGCCCATGGGGGGGGACAGCAGCAGCCCGGATCCCAACCATCGCTCCCTCATTCCCTTGGAACAAGTGACGAAACCGTGTTAACCCTCCTGCAGGCGGGTGGGGAATGGAGAGTGGAGAGTGGAGAGTGGAGAGTGGGTTCTCCTGCAGTCAACCCACCTTGCGCCGGCACGCCTCGCAAGTTCTTTTCAATTAAAAACATTTCCCAGCCCAGCGCTTTAGCGACAGCCAGACGTCTGCTGTGTGTCGCCTGTGTGTTCGAGTCATTTTAGCATATTACTTGGGGAAATAATGAGCCCCGAGCTGGGGCCCGCTGCTCCTCTCTGTGTGTCGCACGCACATCTCGAAGTAAAGACTTTAAAAGCGTGCCACCGAAAAGGGGCTGGCAGGAGGGAGGCTTCAAGAGGATTTTACTGAACGGAGACTGGATGACATTTAAAGCAGAGATCCTTTTCTGATTGTGTACGAGCAATATGACATGAGATTGTTGTGTCATTAGCCGCCACCGCCTGATTGGATCTTTCAATTACTCAACGACATGGCTGCAAATGCAATCAATCCTGTGCCGATGTTTAAGAACCAATGAACATTCCATTTTACTCTGTATATTCGAAACCTTCAAACAACCAAAAACACACAAACAAGGTCAGTTGCACGGTTGAAAAGTGGTTCAATTCCCAAAGCAGAAAAAACACATCGAATAAACAAGCATCGAAAGCTGCCAATACATGTTTTCGTACGAGTATCCACTGAAAAGTGTTTTATTTGTGTCACGGAGCAATTCTTTAAAATATCAATAGCACCGCAATAAATTTCAGCCACGACAGGAACAAGGACTGCCTCCTTCCCGCTGCACTCGGCACTCGGCATCCATTCCACGCGGATGGTATCGATAGGCACTTCGCTTGGACTATAAATGGGAGCACTCCCTCTGGCTCCTTGCTTCACTGCATTCGAGGCAGATCATTCTCGTACTCGAAGGATGTAGCGAGGAATGTAGAGGAATTGTAGCCGATTGAATCGATGTAAATGGTAACGTATGTTCAAATGATACTGTTGGAGGGTGTCATTTCCACAGAGCGACCACAGCGGTAATTCAGGATAGTCCTATACAAGGCTATATGCAACAGATTTAAAAAAGATACTCTGTAGTTACAGAGATTTTATGGGCAGGTATCCAGCCTAGGGTTTCCGCCGTGCACCAGTACTGCTTGTAAAATGTATCGTAGACAGCAATCTGGCTCTCTTTAAGCGTGTAACGAACCAAATGCTTGATATCCATATCGTATGGCCAGGGCATTGCGGTATCGATTCCTTTCCGGTAGCTCTCCCCTTCGCCGACCATCCGTATGGCTAACCAGAGATTCCCAAGTGACTGTGGCTTGTAAACAAGAGCTGGTCACTCACCTACGAACTGTCGTCGTCCATGGACGTGAGT